AACCAGAACGGGAGGAGGAGGAGGAGGAGGAGGAGGAGGAGGAGGAGGAGGAGGAGGAGGAGGAGGTGGCCTTTCCTCAGGACATCTTCGTCGTTTTGACAGTCCCGTGGCCCGTCGAGGGCCCCCAGGGCCCGAAAGCGGCGAAAAACCGCAGGGCCCGTTTCCCCCCTGGCGACTCTAATACAGCACGTGCGCTCAGCAGCTAAGCGCCGGCAGCTCCTCCAGGCTTACACAAAAGCCCGTGCCGCTGGGAAACGTCGAGGCTCGCGCTCTGGGCGGACAGCAAGCACCCATGCAGCGGGCGCCAGAGCATCCTGGCTCCGTTTTCTTGCCCCAGGCGCAGATGGATATGAGGCTGCTGTGCAGCGGGCGCGGGACCTGGATGCAGCTGCCAGCCGCTTCTACGCAAGGGTGCGCGAAACCAGCTGCTCCAACAGCCTCCCTCCCTCCCTCCCCTCCCCCTCCCCTCCGTCTCCCTATCTTCGCCTCCTCCTCCCACCCCCTCCCTCCGGATGCTATTCCTCCCTGCCTTCCAGAAGATTAAATCCGCTCCAGAGCGTTCCGGAAGATAAGTCCGTTCCAGAGCGTTCGCGTTCCGGAACGCTCTCAGAGCTTACTGCAACGCTCTGAGAAGGCCGCGGCGCCAGAGAGATCCTCCAGAGCCGCCGGATATCCGAGATTCTCGGCTCATTGTTACTCGATTTGATCCTCGTCTTGGCTTCGCCATAGCCCTCCCTCCCTGCCTCCCGGGTCTCTGGGCCCGGCGCCACGCCGGCCCCCTTGAGGGGCAACAATAGGGGGGGTCTGGCATAGGGGGGGATGCATCGACTTGGAATCGGCGATGCATTGCCGATAGATCGGCGATAGGGCCCCGATAGTGCGTCCGCACCTTCCTGGGCGGGTCAGGGCTATCGGGCCCCCATCGGCGATCAATGAGCGATTGGGGGTCGATGCATCCCCCCCTATGCCTATCTAGGGGAACAGAAAGTGGCATAAACATAACAACTCGGAGGTCCGCGCGGATTTCTCGGATCGACGCTGGACCCCCCTCCCTGGCGCGCGGAGCGCGCCAGGGGCGGCGCCAGAGGCGCCGCCGGGGGGCCCCAGCGCCGATCCGAGAAATCCGCGCGGGCCTCCGAGTTGTTATGTCGTTGCCCCTGACCCCTGTGGCGGTGGGCGGCGGGTGGGGGGCCCGGCGGGGGAGCTGTCGCGAAGGGTCCGCGCGAGGACTCCCCCGGGCAGCTCCCCCAGGGGAGCGGCGGACCGCCGCCCCGGACGCGGAGAGCAGCGGATCCACCCACGGAAGGAGTGATGGGCCAGGCTTCCACCATACCACTCCCAGAAGCAGGACGGGGGGGAAGGCAGGATGGGAAGGTCCTCCTCAACTGTCTCCTCCTCGGGCTCCCTCTCCCACCTGTGGTGGTGGAGAATCGGCCCGACAAGCGAAGCCGTTCCGGAAACGTACACCCCAGGAAGTGAATCGAGCAGGGCAGGGCGGTCAAAGAGGCACCCGGGGCCGATGAGTCAACGCCCATGATCGGGGTCGGACCGCTCTGTCCCTCCCTTGTTGACGCACCCTCCCGGGGCTCCTCTCGGGGCGGATCGAGCACCCAACCGCCGCCTGGCATCGGCAGGCCGCGGCAGGTCGCACGGTCCTGCGGCAGGGACCGGGGTGGACTTCTCTTGAGAACCCCGCTGCAGGCTGCTCCACTCCGTGGCCCCCGGCCAGGGGGCCGAAGGGCAGGGTGCTGGCATGCGCGCGGGGCTGCCGTGGCGCCGCGGCACCCAGGGCAGCAAGGCGTATACGGCGCCGAGGCACCTCCTCCCCAAATCGCCGCTTACCGCGGGCCTGCATGTTCGGGAACTCACTGACCCGGGTCAATGCCAACCCGGGTCAGTCAGGCCTTGCAGGATCCTGGAGGTTCCTGCACCCAAACCTGGGTCAGTGCGACCCTGGCTCTGCAGGATCCTGCAATATCCAGCGCTCTGACTTCGCCCAGAAGCCGGGGCAGGGGGCACTGCTGGAGGAGCCCCTGAGGGCGCCCACCTATCGCTCGCACGTCCACTCCCCGCGCGTTTTCCGGCTCCGTGCGCGCAGATCTTTCGCAAGGTGATCCTCTGAGCCCCGAATCATCAGGGGTAACTCGAGTCAGGGCTAACTCGGGTTCGTTTTTCGGGAATCCGAACCCGACTTACCCCGGACCCGAGTTACCCCGGATAATTCGGGCGTCCAGAACCCCGCATCATCAGGGGTAACTCGGGTCAGGGCTAACTCGGGTTCCTTTCTCGGGAACCCAAACCCGACTTACCCCGGACCCGAGTCACCCCGGATAACTCGGGCGCCCAAGATCCCCGGTGCTCCTCGACGGTCCTCGCCAGGGAAACAAATATGCACACGTCCGAGCGATGCCACGCCACGGGCCCCCCCCGCGCCCGAGCTCGCCCCCGAGGGGCGCCTGGGAGGCCCCGGCGCCCGAAGGGGGAGGCCCGCGGGGCGCCCGTGGGCCTCCGGCTGGGCCGCCGGCCGCCCGCCGCGGAGGCGCGGCCCGCGCCCCGATAAGGGGGAAACCAAGAGGCACCGATCTCGCCATCGTTCGGACGTCCATTCCCTGTGTTTTTTTCGGTTTCGTGCGTGGCGTTTGCGCCAAAGGATCCAAGGATGCTCCTCGATGGTCTTCGCCGAAGGAAAAATGCACACGTCCGAGCGATGCCAAGCGATACCGCTGCTCCCCGGGCCTCTCCCGGGGTGCGTTCTGACCAGGACTTGGGGGCGAATCCAGCGGTGGCGACGAGGGCCCCCCAGGAGGCCCAGCAAAAGGGAAAACGATGAAAGAGCAGAGGTATGGGCACCTCCTGCTCCTCCTCCTCCTCCTCCTCCTCCTCCTCCTCCTCCTCCTCCTCCTCCTCCTCCTCTCCCTCCTCTGGCGATCTGCCTGGAGGGCGAGGCTCTGCGCCCCACGGCCCCGTGCACGAGCTCTCGCTGGGGGCGAGGGAGCTCCGCGGGCTCGGGGCGACAGCCCGCCAGGCTTTTTTGAAGGGGCCCTGGGACGCACAAATAAATACACACAAATGAAAGGATTCCACATATTTTCCCACATTTTCGGGGTTTCTGTCTTCCCCCCCACTTCCCATATTTTCCAATATTTTCGGGGGAATCGAGGATTCATTGTGTCTGTGTGTTTCTTTTCCTCCTGAATTTTTCAGGGACAGGCGGCGCTCGAGGGGGGCGCCAGGCGCGTGGCGCCACCGGCACACGGAGCAGGACTCGCAGCTCTGCGCGCCGCGAGCATGCAGCGGCACTTGGTGTGTGGGGCTTGGGGGGGCCTTAGAGATCAGGTGAGGAAAAGGCACCCATACCTCTACCCTTTCCTCGCTTTCCCCTTTTTCCGCCTCCTGGGAGGCCCTCGTCGCCACCGCTGGATTCGCCTGGAAATCCTAGTCAGAACGCACCCCGGGAGAGGTCCGAGGAGCAGCGGTATCGGTACCTTTTGGTTCCCCATTAGAGGCGGCATCTTGAAGGGACCGGGGCTTCCTTCAAGGGTCACTCGCGCAAGAGGCCTCGGCAAGAAGCCGCCCCCCCCCCCCCACTCCCGCCCGGCACCTTCTTGTTGCGCGCCGCCGACCGCGGCGGAGGAGAGGAGTATTTTGTATGCCCGGGTGGCCAGACGTCGCTGCCAGCACCAGGAGGCCACAGCAGCGGCACAGGTCAGGTGAGGAGGAGGATGACGACGACAAGACGACAACAACGGACGACCCCCGAGAGAAGAAGGAGGAGGAGGAGGAGGAGGAGGACGACGACGACACCTTGGCACACAAACACGCGACGCCGTGAGCAAAGCACGCCCAGAACTCCCGACCCCGTCTGCAGGCGGGATTCCTCGTGGTGCGGGGCCGGTCCGTGAAGGGCCCAGGGCCCAAACAGGGTACGGCCGCCCAGTGGTTCGCGCCACGACGCGGAGGTGGACCAGGAAGAGGAAGGCAAAGGAGAAGAGGATGTGCTTCGACGAGGAGGGAGGGAGACACGTAGAAGATGAGAGGATGCACGAGGAGGATGAGGAGAGGAATCTAATACCTCCCCACAGAGAAAGAAAAGGACCCTGGAGGAGGCAGAGGCAGAGAAAAAGAAAAGGATGAGGACATCCAAAGGGGACAAGGAAGAAGGATGCCGCGGACAAGGCGGAGGTCCTCTCCTCCTCCGCCTCCTCCTCCTTCTCATCCCCCCGCGTCATGGTACTCCCCCATTCGCCAGGCACAATTTCCCTTCGGGTATATGCTGTGTTAGCGTTGGACACCCGTTCGTGCCCTGACGATCCGCCCGCGACAGCATTGCCTCAGCAGCCCAGTCTGGCCCCTTTTTCTTCCGCCTCCCCTCCCCCTCCGCTCCTTCCTCCCTCTCCATCTCCATCTATATCCCTCTATCCGTCCTCCTTCTCCTCCTCCTCCTCCCCCTCCTCCTCCCCCTCCTCCTCCTTCCCCTCCTCCATTTCCACCTCCCTCCTCCTCCCCCTCCCCCTCCGCCCCGATATCTCCTTCTATACCCCTCTATCCGTCATCCTTCTCCTCCGTCTCCTCCTCCTCCTCCTCCTCCTCCTCCCTCCTTCTCCTCCTTCCCCTCCTCCATTTCCACCTCCCTCCTCCTCCCCCTCCCCCTCCGCCCCTATATCTCCATCTATATTCCTCTATCCGTCCTCCTTCTCCTCCTCCTCCTCATCCTCCTCCTTCCTCCTTCTCCTCCTCTCCCTCCCCATCGTCCCTTTACCTCGTCCCCCTGGACGCCCCCCCCCCTCCCCCTGCGACCTCCCCCCCCGGCGCGCCGCCGACGTCTCCCGACACGACCCCTTCGGGCGCGGCGCGCGCGCGCGCGTCGTCGGCGCCCCGACGGCGACGTGAAAGACGACGACGACGACGACGACGACGACGACGACGACGACGACGACGAGGTGGACGACGAGGTGGACGACGAGGTGGACGACGAGGTCGACGACGAGGTCGAGGTCGAGGACGAGGACGAGGACGAGGACGAGGACGAGGACGAGGACGACGACGACGACGACGACGACGGCGGCGGCGGTGGCGTCGACGACGACGACCTCGACGCCGTCGTTGCCCTCTGCGCTTTGTTGCTCCGTGCCGCGCGGGCGGGACGGCAGCCGCGCGATGGCTCCGTGAGAACCGTCTTTCAGGACAAAACTGAGGGGATCAAGCAATTCAAAGGACGGCAACTCAGGGAGGGGAGGAGGGACGTAGGGGAAAGCGAGCAGGTATTAAGTGACAAGGAGGGAGAGGGATGGAGGTGGATTCTCCTGGGAGGAGGAGCAGTTTCGATGATTATACACGAGGAGTGCGTTTAGTGCTGGTAGTAGTGAGAAGTGGGCGATGAGGATGGAGCAGTCGGCGAATAGCTAGGTGGGAGACCATGGGGGAGCGGCATTGGAGAACGAAGGTGGGTTCTCACCTGGCTTGGAAAATATGTTCTGAATGGCCGAGAGGAGGAGGAGGAGGACGGAGGAGATGAGAGGAGGAGGAGAGGAGGAAGGAGTGAGGATGTAGGGAGGTGGAGCAGGGGAGGAGGTAGGATGAGGAGGAGTAGGAGTGAGGAGGAGGAGGAGTAGGAGGTAGTAGGAGGAGGGGACGGAGGAAGAAATATGTTCCTCCTCATCTCCTCCTTCCCTCCCTCTTATTCCCGGCCTCCCCCTCCTCCCTCCTACCTCCTTCCTCCTCGGGAGGGGCCAAGAGGCTCCCAAGAAGCTCCTGAGAGGCGCCAAATCCAGCCCCCAGAGGCCCCCCAAGAGCGCTCCGAAGAGAGGCCAAAAAGCATCCCTGAGGACTCTGAACTCTGACCCACGTCAACATCATCGTCGTCGTCGTCCCTCGGCAATCCTCCTCCCACCTCCTCCTCCTCGCGTCTTCCTTCCCCATCCTCCTCGCGTATTCCTTCTTCCCTCCTCTTACCTCCTTCCTCCTCCACCACCTCCACCCCACCTCGTGCTTTGAATAACCCTCCGGCCGCCACCAATACCTCAAGTCACGCGGTTGGCACTCCGCGGCTGCTTTTCCCCTCTCCATACCGTCCCGTCGCGTCCCCCTATGAATACCTCCGGCTGCCACCTTCATCGTGGGTGTCGTCTTCCAGGGTCGGCGGCACCGGCCGTAAGGCCTTCGCAATATGTTCTGAATGGCCAGAGAGGAGGAGGGGGAGGAGGAGAAGGAGGAGGAGGAGGAGGAGGAATACATATTTTCTGAACTGGTTTGGTGGACTCAAGGGGAAAGGGGGGGAGGAGAGGGAGGAGTAGAACTCCCTTGCATAGACATCCCACCAGTTCTTTGAACAGAGGTGGTCTGGAGCGGTGTCCCTTCCAGCCTTCTAATACCATCGCCCCGCCCATTGCAGTACCTGGCAGAGCCCCCCTGCAGAGGTTCTGCTAAAACATTGCGATACGCTGCGAAACGGCCCTGCAATAACCCGGCAAAGGCTCCGCAATATTGTTTGTCGTCGTCGGTGTCCTCCTCCTCCTCCTCCTCCTCCTCCTCCGCCTCCTCCTCCTCCTCCTACTCCCCCGCTTCTTGTTCCTCCTCCTCCTCCTCCCACTCCTCCCTGTCATGCCCATCCTATACCAAGAAGCTCCAAGTGGTCAAGCAGCAACCCCAAGGAGTCACCCGAAAGGCCCAGAGATCGTCCAAAACAATACGCAGGCAGCACGTGTTGTTTATCTTCTCGCACTCTCGCCTCCGATGGGGCTGCCGAGGCCTCAAGTTGGCCCCGAGATCGCCCAAGAGGGGTCAAGGAGAGGCAGGAGAACACAGAATCCATTCAATAAGCCCGATCGGCGATCACAGTGAATCGGATCGCCGGAAACTCGCAGCCGAGTCGGGAGAAGTCGACCTGGCGGAAAACGGCAGGCTTGCATGCCTCCAGTGACACATCGGAGCCCAGATCGGAGTCCCCAGTCGCATCGGATCGGCACCAGGAGCCCTCGGCGTCGGAGCCGAATCGGCTCGGAGGAGTCGAGGCGAGCCCCAGAGAGGCGCCAGGCTGCCCCAGCTGCGCACACACAGGAGCGCCCGAGCGCGCCCCGAGAGGGCTCCGCGAGAGACGGCCCCTGAGGTCCCGACCGGGGTCGAGGGCCGCTCTTGCCGTCGCTCGGGCGGCCATGTCCCGTGCATGCTTCGGATCAGTGCGTGTTCTTGTTTGCTCGATGCTCCAGGATGGTCCTCGATGGTACTCGCCGAGAGAAGAATGCACACGTCCGAGCGATGCCGAGCGCTCGTGGACTTCGGTGGTCGACGTCCCCGCTCGCAGACGGCCCCAGCGGGGCCCCCCAAGACACCCCACAGGGCCGCAGGGGCACCCAAGGCTCCCTCAATGGCCCTGCGAGGGCCCCCATATGAATCCCAGAGGCTTCCAAGAGGCTCTTCAAAGCGACAGATCCGCGAATCTCTTCTTGGTGGACTGCTTGCCGTCGTCGTCGTCGTCGTCGTCGTCGTCGTCGTCGTCGTCGTCGTCGTCGTTGTCGTCGTCGTCGTCGTCGTCGTCGTCGGTAGATTATTCTTCTACTCTCCTCCTCCTCCTCCTCCTCCTCCTCCTCCTCCTCCTCCTCCTCCTCGTCCTCGTCCTCGTCCTCCTCCTTCTCCTCGTTCTCCTGCTCTGCTTTCTCTTCTGCATCATCCTTTCGATGATAGGTTCAGCAATTCCACTCCAGGGCATGCTCAAGCCGATCTCACGCCTGGGCTTGCTGGCTGACTCACCTGCCTGTTCCACTGGGTGCTCCTACACTTCCCTGGTTGGGCCAACTCCCCCGGAGGTCGTTCCCGGATGGACTGGCGGGGATACGCGAGCCGTCGAGAGCTCGACTTGAACCGAAGGGAGGAACAGGGCGAAGAAGGACGGGGGGGGGAGGAAGGAGTGCGAGGAGGGAGCACGAGGAGCTAATCGTGGGTTCTGCAGGGTGCCTCCTCCGCTCACCTCCCTCGTTCCATCCCTTCCCTCGCCTCCCTCGCTCACTGTCCCTCGTGAGATTAGGCCCCATCCCCCATGCCATCCACTCCATCCCCTTCCTCACTCTCTCCCTACCACCCTCCACCCCTCTCTAACCTCACCTCGTGGCATCCTATCCCAATGGGGGGAATGGGGCGGACGCCAGGAAAGAGAAGGATGGAGAGGGAAGAACAGAAGAGGGGAAAGAGGATGAGCTGGGGGAGGTAGTAGCGGAGGAAGAGGCAGGACATGAGGAGGAGGAGGAGGAGGAGGAGGAGGAGGAGGAGGAGAAAGAGGAGGAGGAGCAAGGCAGGGGGAGGAGAGCGGGGGCGGGGGGGGAGGAGAGAGGGGGGGGTGCGTGCGCGCGAAATCAGGATTCAAAGGAGGCGGCAGCGCAGGCCATGCTTCGCAGCTAGAGCCGTCGGCCCGCCGAGACGGGGCCGGAGGCTGGCGCGAGGCCACTGTGGCACAGCGCCCCTTCGTCGCGGCGCGGCGGCAGGTGGCCCGTGAAGGCGGGGGAGCAGAAGACATGCCCCCACCCAAGCCTGGGAAGGAGGCGCACCCCTGGCGAGCACATCCAACCAGCCCTCTGGGCGGAGGCGGTTCAGCGCATGTCCTCTTCCAGGCCCCCCTCTCTTCCCCTTCGGGGAGGGATTCATCACTGCGCCTTGTGACTCTACTCTGTGCCCCTCAGAAGGTCTGGGGTACCTGTAGTCCAGGGAGGGCAGTCCGGGGGAGGAGTGCCTGTAGTCCGGGGGGGGCACCAACAGTCCGGGGTGGGGTATACCCGTAGTCCGCGGTGGGGCACCTGTAGTCCGGGGGGGGTACCTGTAGTCCGGGGAGGGCGCGCGTTCACGCGTCAACGCACGCGTGGTTCCAAGTGTTCCAAGTGCGCGGGATTCCGCGCCTGTGGATGGCTGCGCGCGCGGGACTGCACGCGCATCGTCCCTCGCGAGTGCTCCGGCTCGCGCGCTGACCCAACATGGGCGAACTGCGCATTCATGCATGGGTGGCAGTGGGCAGAGACATTCCAAGCGGACCGCTTCGGATCTGAGGGGATAGCGAACTCGGGGGTTCCTCTAGCCTCGGGGGGCACCTATAGCATCGGAGGGGTATCTGTAATCTGGAGGGGTGGGTACCTGTAGTCTGGGGGGGGGGACCTGTAGTCGGGGAGGGTATTTGTAGTCCCGGGAAGGGGTATAGCTGCAGTCTGGGGAGGGGTGCTCGTAGTCCGAGTCCGTTGAGAGGAATACCTGTAATTAGTCCGGGAGCCCATAACTACTGAGGGACACAAAATAATTATCCTGGCGAAGGACCCAACCATATGCAGTTGTGGGTACCGCAATCGTGAAAATCTTCTTCGGTGAAACTCCCTATGGGGCCACGAAGCGCTGCACTGAGTGGGGGGGAACGCTGTTCTGGGTGAGTGGTGTGTCAAGTAAGGCTTCCGGGACGCATGCGGACGACAGTCCCACTGGGTGCTTCGGTGGAGCTCCCTATGGGGCCACGAAGCGCCGTACTGGGTAAGTGAAAATACCAAATTGGGCTTCCGGGACGCATGCGGACGGTCCCACTGGAAGCTTCGGTGGAACTCCCTATGGGGCCACGAAACGCTGTACTGGGTGGGTGAAAATGCCGAATTGGGCTTCCGGGACGCATGCGGACCGTCCCACTGGGGGCTTCGGTGGAGTTCACTAAGGGGCCACGAAACGCTCTATTGGGTGGGTAAAAATGCCACGTTGGGTTTTCGGGACGTATGCGGACGGTGGCACTGGGGCCTTCGGTGGAGTTCCCTACGGGGCCACGAAATTCTGGACTGGGTGGGTGGAAATGCCACAATGGATGTTTCGGGACACTTGCAGACGGTCCCACTGGGGCCTTCGGTGGAGCTCCCTGTGGGGCCACGAAACGCTGCACTGGGTGGGTGAAAATGCCACATTGGGTGTGCGGGACGCAATAATCGGAACGGTGGCAACTGGGGCCTTGGTGGTGTTCCTACGGGGCCACGAAATTTTCTGGACTGGCGTGGGTGGATGCCACAATTGGATGTTTCGGGACACTTTCACACGGTCCCACTGGGGCCTTCGGTGGATCTCCCTGTTGGGCCACGAAGCGCTTCAATGGGTGGGGGAATGCCACATTGGGTGTGCGGGACCCATGCGGACGGTGGCACTGGGGCCTTTCGGTGGAGCTCGCTGTTGGGCCACGAAGCTGTAATGGTTAGGTGTTTGGGGGGACACGGCGCGCAGAGGTGTTTGTCAGGACGCCTTCTTTCAGAGACTGGGGGCCTTCGGTGGAGCTCCCTATGGGGCCACGAAGCGCTGTACTGAGCGGGGGGACGCATGTAGACGGTGGCGCTGGGGCCTTCGGTGGAGCTCCCGCCACGAAACGCTGTACTGAGTGGGGGGGACACATGTGGACGGTGGCACTGGGGCCTTCGGTGGAGCTCCCTATGGGGCCACGAAACGCTGTACTGAGTGGGGGGGACACATGTGGACGGTGGCACTGGGGCCTTCGGTGGAGCTCCCTATGGGGCCACGAAACGCTGTACTGAGTGGGGGGGACGCATGTGGACGGTGGCACTGGGGCCTTCGGAGGAGCTCCCTATGGGGCCACGAAACGCTGTACTGAGTGGGGGGGACGCATGTGGACGGTGGCACTGGGGCCTTCGGTGGAGCTCCCTATGGGGCCACGAAACGTTGTACTGAGTGGGGGGGACGCATGTGGACAGTGGCTCTGGGGCCTTCGGTGGAGCTCCCTATGGAGCTACGAAACGCTGTACTGGGTGGGGGGAACGCATGCGGACGGTGGCACTGGCACCTTCGGTGGAGCTCCCTATGGGGCCACGAAACGTGTGAGGGTGTGCCGAAGTGGGTTGGGGGGACGCATGTGGACGGTGGCACTGGGGCCTTTGGTGGAGCTCCCTACGGGGCCACGAAAAGGCAGGAAAGGCAGTACTGAGTGAGGGGGGAGCATGTGACGGTTTGCCTTGGGCCTTTCCGTGGGGCTCCCTATGGGGCCCACGAAGCGCTGTGACTGAGTGGGGGGGACGCATGTGGACGGTGGCACTGGGACCTTCGGTGGAGCTCCCTATGGGGCCACGAAACGCAATATTGAGTGGGGGGGACGCATGTGGACGGTGGCACTGGGGACTTCGGTGAAGCTCCCATGGGGGCCACGAAACGCTGTACTGAGTGGGGGGACGCATGTGGACGGTGGCACTGGAGCTCCCTATGAGGCCGCGAAGCGCTGTACTGAGTGGGGGGGGACGCATGTGGACGGTGTCACTGGGGCCTTCGGTGGAGCCCCCTATGGGGCTACGAAGCGCTGTACTGAGTGGGTGGAACGCAGGGAAGAGGGGGAGGAGGGAGGAGTGGGGAGGAGGGGGAGGAGGACAGGAGAGGAGGAGGAGGAGGAGGAGGAGGAGGAGAGGAGGAGGAGGAGGAGGAGGAGGAGGAGGAGGAGGAGGAGGAGGAACGCGGGGACCGTCTCTTCAAAACGAGGACCCAACAACACAGGTTGGTTGGGGAAAACATAAGATTTTCAATACATGATTAATGTATGAATAAATGTATGCATGAACTCATCGTTGTTTCTAGTACTTAATCCCTGCATGTTTAAATTTAAAAACATGATGCGCACGCGGAGCATGTAGTAAACACGGCACTGTACACCCCCTCCCCTACCCGACCAGCGACAAACCATGAACAATGCCAACGCCTCCCCACCACCCGTGCCAGACAAAAAACATCATGCACGCAACTGCCCTGTAGGTGGTATGTCGGGGTGGGAGTCGGGGGGGGGGGGCGCGAGCACTTTGCATTGTTTCTTCCCCAACCCTCCTGTGTTGGGTTTTCGTTTCGAATAGAGCACTGTTGGCCCCACCTCCTATCCTCTCATCCCCCTCCTCTTCCTCCTCCTCCTCCTCCTCCTCCTCCTCCTCCTCCTCGCCTCCTCCCCCTGCCTCATCTTGCGCTGCTCCCTGGGTGGCTGCGAACTGTGCAACTGTCGCCGCTGTCGTGGGCTCCTGGGAGGCACGGCGCGGAACAAGGGAGTGCCCGATACCTCGCAGCTACCTGGGTGGCTGCGAACTGCGCAACTGTCGCCGCGTTCGTGGGCCCTGGGAGGCACGGCGGAGTGTGGGGAGTACCCGAGACCTCGCAGCTCCCAGGGTGGCTGCGAGCTGTGCAACTGTCGCCACGTTCGTGGGGGGAGTACGCGGACACAGACGAGACATCGCATCTTTCCTGTGGGCAGCGAAGTGCGCAGCTGTAGCCACTTTCGTGGGCTCCTGGGAGGCTCGGCCGAGTAAGGGAGTGCGCAGCACCAGCCGAGACCTCGCATCTCCCTGGGGGGGCCGCGAGCTGCGCATCTGTCGCCACTTTCGTGGGCTCCCGGGAGGTCCAGCGGAGTCTCCTGTCTCGCGATACCCGATGCATGTCTCTATTCTTTCTCGCGAAGGGGGCATCTTGAAACGTGATCGGGGCAAACTGAGACACGGGAAGGGGTACAACCAAACATGAGACACTGAACACGACACGATCAGACACGAAGAGGTACACTGAGACACGAACGCCCAACAATGAAACACAAAACGAAACACAACGAGACAAACTGAGACATGCACGGGATAACATTAATCACGAAATGAGACACAACGAGTCCAAACGAGACAAAGTAAGATACGAGGGCACACGCTAAGACACGTTATGAGACGAACTGAGACAAACTGAGACGACCGAGACATCATGAGACAAGAAATAGAACGGACATGTCTCGCTGTGTCTCAATGTGTCTCAACGTGTCCCATGTCGTGTCTCATGTTGTCGTCTCTTGACTCAACGTGTTATGCTTCATGTCGTGTCTCATGGTGACTCGCTCATGTTTCAATGTCTCGAATTGTCCCGCTCCGCGTCTCAATTTGGGGCGTTCGTGTCTCAATTCATCTCGGCGTGTCTAGTTGTGTGTCGTGTCGTGTCTCAAGTGTCTCGTTGTGTCTCGTCCGTGTCTAATTTTGTCTCGCTCATGTTTCGTGGTGTATCGTTCCGTCGCGTGTCCTCTCTCGTGTTGGTTCCATGATGTCTCAAGTTTTGCCCCTTCGCGGGATGCATGATGAGACATGCATAAGGCACAGCGAGACAAACAGAGACATGATCGCTTCCAAATGAGACGCGGACGCGCGAGTAATTGTAACGTAAGCACGCGTAGGCGATGTAAAATGAAACAAGCATGTGTGCATACACAGGGCGTACAGACGACATGTTTGAAACAATATGCGACGCTAATAATGAGACTGACAGCTACATAGGGACACGTAGTGACTGACGTAGTGGCAATACTTTTGCAAACATGGCGAACGTATACAAAAAAGACCCGGGCGAGATGCGTTCACGCATTACCCTTGCTCCAATCCGATCGCACCTTGCGGCGCGTGGGCGGCGTCGTCACACGCGCCGGCACATGCGCGCCGTCCTGTAGCGCTAGCTCCACCGCCGCGTGCGCAACGTGCAATTGGCGCAATGCTATCGTTGCGTAGCTGTGGGCAACTGCCAGTGGTGAGTTGTGGAAGCAAGGCGCGCTCGCGCAAGTGTTCGTAGTGGTGGTGC